AATGCCGATACGGTTGCGGGGAAAACGGTCGATGCGTTGGTCCAGACTTGTGTGTCTGTGATCCGGGATTCCGCATTAATCCCTATACCGGAAGATGCGTTTCACCCGTAAGTACGGATAATTCAGGAAAATTCGTTAAAATAAACAAAAAAAATGCGAAGTTCTTGAAATTTGGCATGGATGTTCAGAAATACGTATACTTTGAGAAACTGAAGAGTCCCGAGCTCTAGATGGCGTGCTTGAGTCGCCATCTTGGAAAAAGTGGGGTGAACTGATTTTTCGCAGGTATATTTAAAATTATCAATCAAATCGCACATACAAATTATTTTAAAACGCAAATAACTTCGTATACTATATTTCTCAAGTAAATACTTGGTCTTGTATAGTTCTTTCTGCAATTTCTATAAATAACTATATCTCGTCCTGTTAGTAATTCATGTTTTCCATCTTCTCTCTCCTTGCTATAATTTCTCAAAATTTCTATGGCTTCTGGTACAACTGTTAATGCGTCATCCACAATTGTTTTTTTCACATATGAAACATGTATTGTTTTCAGTCATTTTGAAAATTATTTCTAGACACTCTCACATTGGCAGTAACATTAAAAAGTTTCTATACTGGCAGTATAGCATATATACTGAGAAAAAAATTACTGGTATCAATAGAATATTTAATTGAATATTTGGTTAAATTAATTTTTTTGGCTCAAATAATATTTAATTGTCACAAAAAAATTATTTATTTATTTCAAGTAAATAAATTATTTTTGCACAATATTGTATAATATATTTATTTGAAACTAATAAATAAATTTTTATCACAATTAAATATTATTTGTATAAAAAAAAATTATTTTATCGCGCCGTACTATTCAATTAAATATTTTATTGATACCAGTAATTTTTTTTCGCAGTGCACGAATTATTTTATCACTATTTTCTCAGGGATCCACTATATATAACAACTTATTTTTTACTTTTAATACTTTAAGAATAATTGAACACACAAAAAATAAAACATGCAACCTTACACGTGCAATGTCTATGGCAAAACTGGCCCGAGCTGATTAGAGTTGTTAGACTTATGCATTTCGTTACCCTGGCGCACCGTGGGCTAATTCATGCCAAATGCGGACATAGACAAGTGTTCATTCCTGTTTGTGTTTTTTTATGATTTTATCGTGTTTATCGTGTTATTAGTACTGAACATAAAATCATAAAAAAACAAACAGGATTGAACACTTGTCTATGTCCGCATTTGGCATAAATCAGCCCATTGTGCGGCGGGGAGCGCGGAGAGGGTTTCTACTTGAGCTGGAGGGTCCAGCACCATCTGCACCTAGGGACTCTTTGGAATCTTCAATAGTATATATTTCTCTACAAGTTAGTGAAGTTTTCACGAACTTCGAAATTTTTTTGTTTATTTGTCGATTTTTTATCTAATTTGCTTGAACTAGGAAAAGGACTTGTGCCAATACCCGTGCAAAAATGGCCAATGCACTGGGCCGAATCAATGCACCTGCAATCGTGGGTACACACACGACGACCGCGATAGTACGCGTTCAATATGTGTTCCGGTGTGCGCGGATGGATGTCCGAACGGTGTATGCACTCTGCCAAACTTTTGCATATGCTATCCCGGATTCCGGAAGGAAGGTGTCAAGGGTCGCCAGAGATGTGTCCCAGAGTAAATGAGTTGACTATATACAAAACATATTGTTAGATATTAGTTTGATAAAACTAATAATTTCAAACTAATAATTATAATCAACTGAATTTGTAATAAATTGATAATATAAATTTTATAAATAATTTTTTGTATCTTTTATTTCGCGCAATACGCCTAAATTCATAATCATGATGACTTTAAAAAATAATAATACGAAGATGAAATATTTCCACATATTTAAAAGTCTCTAGATTGTAATAACTATTTTGATAATTATACACGTTCTTGAATAACCTTGTGGACTGATCAATGCGGATACAATTTTCTCAGAGTAAACAAAGTATTAAATATGTAAAACTCCAATGGCAAATGAATACGTTAATTATATTATAAATCGTAAAATTGATTATAAAGTCATGCATAAAAATAGAAGCGCTCTATAAATCTTACAATCTCATAAAAGAATATGTAAAAATGACATGACTAACCACAAACGCTATCGCGTGCAATATGTTTTATACACCAACTAATGTTACTGCATTGTAAATGGGTTAATGCGGACTGCATCCTTGGCTCAATACGTCAACTTCACATAAGTTTCGCTCAAGAAAATGTACGTTCCCGTTTATGCACTGTTAAACATGCGGAATCGATTCGTTTACGCCATAAAACAATTATGCAGTTTCTCTCCAGAGTTCGACGCAATGCATATTTCTTAAAAGCGATTCACAAGATATTCCGCAACGTGTGTGTTATGTACTCTTATATGTATTTAATATATCTTTATTATTTTCACAATGAGATGCGAGATACTTTGTACCCAGCATGATTCACAGCTTATGAACAGAAACCGATAATAGCATTTTACTCAGGATTTTCGTCAACTTGTCTTAAATAGAATTTCAATTTCTTTTATTTGCATGCAATCTCTTTTGTAAGTACAAATAAATTAATAATTGCAACGCCAGATGTTGTAAAAGTTTTTAGCAATTTATGTAAATAGAATTACTAAAATTAAAGAAGCTCATTTCGCTGATAAGCAGAGATTCATATGGATTTAATTGTAACTGCCTGACAACAGCTAACATCCTGTCGGATTCTGATAGCACGCTACTCTCATAACTCAAAGAGGAGAAGAAGCTTCAGTATAAGTTGCGGCGCAATATACTTTGCAACACGCTTTATCCACACGCTGATCAGTCGTTCTCATTTGGATCTCTCTTCAAATGTATATGTTTAAATATATTCGGCAATTATGAAACTTTTGTACGTTATACTTATTCTTGTCGTTCTACAAGGCGAATTGGTTACTAAAGTGGAATTGCTTATTGTAACGTCAAATGATTATTCTACGGGAAATTGTAGTAAACTCATTAGGTAAGACTTGCTATATTCTGTGATCAAAAATGCTTATCGACACTATCAAAATGTATAATCGGCGCACAAGTGAGTTAATAATGCTAAAATTATACGCTGTTTGCAGTTTTATGGAAACATCTGAAGTTCCATACTTGGAAACGTATAAGGAAAAAACGTGGGGTATCTTTTATAAAACCCGCGTTCGATGGAATTATAAAATTGAGGTAAGAGTTGAAGTATAGGATCCCGATTCAAAATAATATTCTCGTTAAAATGATAGAATCAAAATTCAAAATATGTTAATAAGTACGTTTGGCGCACATAATGACATTTATATTTATCGGAAAATAAAATAATTATTCCTCAATATAAATTTAAGATGCGTCCAGACTGTCGAACCGAACATCGAGCTGTAAACTGAGCCTGCGTCCACATTCAAAGTAGGGCTTAGACAAAAGATTCGAACATGTTGAATATTCGATCTATTCGAATAGTTCGAAGTTTAAAAAAATGAGCATCTAATTCGAATAGTTCGGACAGTTCGAGCTTAAGCAATGATCAGTATGAAATGTCAATTCGTTATGTCTGAAGTTCGGATGATTCGGACAGTAAACAAATATAGTATGCCTCGGAAACAAAAGAGCAGTTAAATAAAATTCTTATATTTATTGATATCGTCCTACAAATATCCTGAGCCATCCTGGACATATTCAGGATGATCCTGAGGACGACTTATAATGTCTGAGTTCGAAATGTAATAATTTCGAACTTTCAGCTCAGAAGTGAGTTAAAATAGTTCGAACATACATTCAGTCCGAACTATTTAACGTTCGAATTTAAAATTCGAACTGTCCGAACTGTCAAATCGTCTGATGTTTCCGAGCACTAATTCAAAGATCCTACATCTACATTATCGAAATGAATATAGATTCACATCAAATCTTTGAATGTGGACACAGGCTCGGCTCGACGTTCGGCTCGATAATCTGGACACACTCTAAGAATTTTTTTGGTGAATGATTAAAAAAGGACGAATAAAATTATAGAAAGATAAAAGTAGTAGATATTAAAATTATAGCTAATAACTTTTATAGTAATAATATATTACCTTCAATAAAATTTACAGCTTATTTTATAATATTTATAATATTAAAATTTTAACACTGATTAAATTTTTGTTTAAAAAATATTATTTCAATTTTCAACAAGTATCTGCTAATCAAATCACCTTTTATCAAACATATTCTGTGTGTTTGTGTGTGTGTGCGCACTGAGAAAAAAATGCTGTTGATTCAATTAAAATCTATATTACGGGCTGTCACTAACATAAGTAATTAATTCATATATATTTTTATTGATATAAAGGCCTTGATTATTGAAATAATAATTTATGTCTTTATGTCAATAAAAATATACATAAATTAATCACCGTAATATAGACTTTAATTGAATTAACAGCATTTTTTTCTTAGTGTGTGTATTTGTATAATTCTCTAAAGATAGCATTTTTGTTAATTAGCACTCTACATACTTTTACGCGTACAAATAAATATTACTAATGTGCAAAAACTCGTCTATCCTTAGTCTCGCAGATCATGGCGCTTAGAATACGAGTGTTGTGATGGATTTGAACGTAAATACATTTGGGAATACACTTCGAAATTAAGTTTAAATGCAAAATGTGAACCAGTTTGTCAGCCTCCTTGCGGAAATGGTACATGCACGAAGCCGAACTTGTGCATCTGCAATGATGGATACATTTTTACGCACTCTGAAACTCTAAAGTCTGATGTCGGCTGTGTTCCTTTATGTACTTCCCCTTGTGTATACGGCAAATGTGTCTTACCCGACACTTGCATGTGCAATTCTGGATACAAACTGACAAACGATCATTACATCTGCGAACCTATTTGCAATGTACCGTGTCCTACAGGATCATATTGCTATAAACCCGACCAATGTCTCTGTCTGAACGGATATAAAAACATTTCCGGTGATGTCAAATTAACTAATGTAAGTAAACAAAGAAAATACAAAAGAAATACTTTGTTTGATTTATTTATTCAATTTGAATTTAACTTACTTAGTTAATATAATATCAATTTGAACACGAAATAAAAGTTAAAAAAATAAATAAGTGTTAAGCGCGTCATAAAAATAATGGTTGTCTATTAATTAGAAAGATATTAATATAAAAAATAACATGAAGAGTATAAGAAAAGTATTATGTTAATAATGAAGATCTATTCTTGTATTTAGATGTGCGAGCCTATTTGTGAAAGAGAGTGTGTCCACGGTAAGTGCACAGCCCCCAATATCTGCACTTGCGATGACGGTTATGTGCCTGATACACACGATTTATTTACCTGCAAGCCTACGTGCGAACATGGTTGTCTGTATGGCAAGTGCACCGCTCCCAATGTGTGTACCTGTAACGAGGGTTACTCATTAAACACCTCGAGTGTCTGCGAACCAATCTGCAGTGTAGCTTGCGTTATGGGCACTTGCGTGGCTCCCGAAAGTTGTAGCTGCTTCGCGGGCTACGGACTGCTTGAAAATTCAAAGTATATCTGCGAGCCAGTCTGTGAAAAGGCTTGCCTCAATGGACGATGCACTGCGCCTGGCGTATGCATGTGCAACGAAGGATTCCAATTAAGTGGCGACGAGACAGAAGAGCACATTTGTAAGCCTTATTGCGAAACTTCTTGCGAACCGTTCGGCGTGTGCAGCGCGCCAGATGTTTGCTCCTGTTATGAAGGATATCGCTTGGCTAATAAGACGCAAATTGAGAAAATCGTTAGTATTAAACTAGCAAGATTATATTAGATCTGAAACGTGACAACAATCCGAAATCTATAATTATGATTTGACGAATGAATTTATAGTTATTTATTTTAATGACTTTAAATAATTATATCAAATATCTATTTAAGCCGAATATTTCTACTGTTTAATTTTAAGAAATTTTATACGCTAATTCTTTAGATTTATACGAAAGATTTTTTCAGAATTTGTTACATTTTGCCAGCAGCTCGGTTTGCGAGCCGATCTGCGAGACGGAATGCATAAATGGATTCTGTAGCGCTCCGTGGACGTGTAGTTGCAACATCGGCTATCAGAGTTCGATAAGTCCCTACGTCTGCCAACCTATATGTAGCCAAAAATGCATCAACGGTTTCTGTATCGCACCTGACACTTGCATGTGCGATTCGGGCTATCGTCGTTCCAATTCTTGGAATGAATGCGAGCCGATCTGCGAGACTGATTGCATCAATGGATATTGCATTGCGCCAAACGAATGCACCTGCAATTCCGGCTACCAACCTACCGAAGGCAATCGTACGAGCCTTTGCGAACCTATTTGCAATCCGAGTTGCAAGAACGGTATCTGCGTACAACCCGACGTATGCAGCTGCAATCCGGGCTATCGTCTGTCGATGAATTCTAAGACAGTGTGCGACCCTATCTGTCACTCGGCTTGCAGAACAAATGGAATTTGCGAGGCACCCGATCTCTGCGTCTGCAAGGATGGTTATCGCATGGTTTATTACGACGGGAAAAACGTTCCGTTCAGATGTGAGCCGATTTGTAGCGTTGAATGTGGCAATGGCACATGTACGACGCCGGATCTCTGCGTGTGTTTCGACGGGTATCGAAACGCGGAAATTGGCGGATGCGAGCCTGTCTGCTCGACTTGTAACAATGGTACGTGTGTTGCGCCCGAGGTTTGCGAATGCGACGACGGATTTGTTCCTGCGGATCCGAATCTCGGATTTGGAGTAAAAGACTCTCGATCTTCGATTGTCCCCGAAAATAGAACGAAAAATGGAAGTAGATGCCTGCCGCATTGCGAGGATTGCGATAACGGCGAGTGCGAGGCACCAGGAGAGTGTCGATGTTATGTTGGTTTCGTGAAGGTCGAAGGCACCTGCGTACACGCGTGTCAGAGTGGTTGCGGTACTCATGGCGAGTGCGTCGAGGAACGCAGGACTTGCGAATGTGATTACGGATGGACCGGATTACACTGCGATCGCCCAACATTGTGTGTCTTGATCTTGAAGGATGGAGATAATCGAACTGAGCAGTGAGTATATCTTATAAATTTATTTTTTCCCTCGCAGAACGGGGATAATAAAAATTATAATAAATTATATATTTAAGCATTATTATGTAACAAAATAATTTAATTTGATACATTATTAGCAAAAAAAATGAGCGCAATGTTAGGATATTTTTATATTATCAAAATAATTTTGGTTTTATGATAAATGGTGTCTGAAATAAGTCGCTTACAAATTATCTGTTAATTATTTATTTTTTACAGATTAAGAATTATGAAAGAAAAAAATTCTACGATTGAGCATATACTTAAAAATAACCCAACTTGTTCCGAATGCATTGGTAAAATAAACAATGAAACATTGTGTTTTAAGATGTTTGGTAATGATACAGAAGATGAGGCGGAAATTGGTTGCTTAATGAAAGAAGGTTTGTTATAAATAGATTCACTTTAAAGTAGAAATTAATATATTTAAAATTATAACAAATTTATTACATTTTTATATTTAAAAAGCCAAAAAATTTGAGACATATTTTGTTGATCATGTAAATTTGTTAAAATACTAATAATTTTTATTGATACTTAGAATTCATTATGTTTCCTTGGATAAATTTGTTCTCGCAATATAGTTAATATTCTTCTACATGATATCAAAATTATTTTTTAAAACTACTTTTTAATTAATTTTTTTAATTAATTTTTCAATAAATTTGCGCAAACACAGTAGTTTTAAAATATATATATTCTACAAAATATTTAATAATTTTATAATTAGAATATTAATAATTGTCTTGATTTTATTGTATCTTTAAACCTTTAATTTTTTTCGATGTGTTATTCTGCGATAAATTAATAAGGACTTCTTTTATCATTTCTTTATACTAGAATGCCTCGCATTGAGCAATATAAGTCAATATAAGAATCAAAGAGAAATGATCAAACTAATAAGTGGAATTATAGGTGGAATATTACTTCTAACAGCAATAACCATATATGTGATATTACGAAAACGTCGAAATAGACCGTTAGAGCCAGGTATTCGTATCATCAATTTTCATTAAAAGTATTATATCTAAATTCTGAAATAACAATGTATCAAAATTTTTTTCAATTATGCATGTTCATTTAATGTTCATTTAGCACTATCTATAAGATGGTTTAAAAAGATAAAGATAGGTATAACACAATATATCAATTGATTGAAGAAAAGGTCTTTTTAAAAACACTTAAGCAATTATCGTTAATAAGAAATAAAATTGGATTTATTCAAACTAATATATTAAAAATGTATATTTATATATTTTTAAATTTCTATTTAGTTTTGTAAAAAATATTAGAAATATAAGTATCAAGAAATATAAAGATCAAATAAAAAGTTTAATAAATTATTTTTATTAACAGGCGATGTTCAGAATGTTCAGATAATTTGCAAGCATAGTACGTCAACACAAGGACTAATGGGATCAAATGCCGATAACTCTTAATATGAAAAATATTTGTAAAATTTTAATATATAAGCTTCTTGTACTAATGATGTAAAATAGATATTATTTTTGTTAACTTAATCAATTATAAATTAAAGTAAAATTACAAGATATGTATCCCTGATAAAATCTCCAATAAAACAGTATTAAAGTTTTAAATTTTTATTTATTTTTTACTTAGAAATTTCTTTTAGATTATCCTGTATCCGTAGATATAATAAAATAGAGAAATATATATATATATATATCTACCACATATTTGCGTCTATTTTTGAATAAAAATAGTACTTTCTAAACTCTAAAATAAAAATGCTTCTATTAATCTTGCCTCGAGTGAATTTCCTTCAACACGAGCGGTATCAATACTTTAAAACGAACTTTACGCTACGAATACATATGCAAGTTTTTAGTAACTTACTGATAGTACAGCACATCCTGCTTTGAAAGAATAACATAGCGTGTGTGTAGTATATGCACATAAAGCACATTAAGATAAAAGAGATGGGAGAGGAAGGAAGCATTTCAATGGTCAGTCTAATCATTACGGAGTGAACATCAACCTCATAGTAAGAGCTATAAATCATGGGGTTACTTAACGGTCTGATCGTTATTTTAACTGTTAAGATATTTTTAGAAGTAGACGTATGGCATGTGAGTGCAATCTCGTTTACTGATATTTCGTTATGGAATCAAACCTTAAAGAGTGAGTTCCAAAAAAGAAGTATAACGTTTAATAATTCGAGGTGCAGTGACACGATTATGATTAGGTATTTCAATATTTGTTATTATACTTTCTTGAAAATTATATTCTTTTTACATATATCCATTTCTAAAATAATTTGTTTCTTCGAAGTATTTTACAAATTACTCGTTTCGATATGTTTACGCTAAAAAAATACTAAATTTTAATAAATATTTGTTTAAATAGTTCTAAGGAAATATGTACTAAATGTAAACATATTTTTATATATATTTAATACAAAAACCATTAATTTAACTATCATCTTTTTAGTAAATATTTATTTGTTGTAAATAAATGTTTACATAGTACTAGAGAAGTATTAAGATTTAGTAAATTTTTTTAGTGTATATGTGTATTAATTTTGCTAATTTTATTACAGTCAGAAAATACCAATTTACATTCCCTATAAGGAAACATATAGATCGTCAGAACATAATATGTCTGAAAAGACTCGAGATAATTTCAGGATGGAGGTAATCGGACTGATAAGTACCTTTCATGATACTCATAAAAGAAATTTGTTAGAAATAAGAAAGAGAAGAATTTTGTAAATTAACAATTTTTTTATCTTTACTTTATATTTCAAACAAATTATCAATTTCTTATCTGCTCAACGCGCTAATTCGCTAATTATATTTACAGTTTCGCACCACATGGGTGTGTGGCTGTGAAGGCTACGTTGTATCCGGTAAGGACCGGTGCGTACCGCGTTGCCCGCAATCTTGCGAGAAAGGTACTTGCAAGGAGCCAGACGTGTGCACCTGCAACAAAGGATACCGCTTGTCAAATGACAGCAAGCAGTGCGTGCCAGAGTGCACGAATGGCTGCATTAACGGAACCTGCGTTGATCCCGAGGTTTGCAGTTGCAACGAGGGTTACTGGTTGGACTCGGACGGATTTACCTGCAAGCCCATCTGCAACGCAGAATGTGAGCAAAATCACGGATATTGTCCCGAGCCGAACGTGTGCATTTGCAACAAAGGGTACCGCATGTCAAACGACAGTAAATGTGTGCCGGAGTGCAAAAACGGTTGCATCAACGGCACTTGTGTCGTACCCGAGGTTTGCAGGTGCAACAAGGGCTACTGGTTGGGCTCGAACGGATTTACCTGCAAGCCCATCTGCAACGCGGAATGTGAGCAAAATCACGGATATTGTCCCGAGCCGAACGTGTGCATTTGCAACAAAGGGTACCGCATGTCAAACGACAGTAAATGTGTGCCGGAGTGCAAAAACGGTTGCATCAACGGCACTTGTGTCGTACCCGAGGTTTGCAGATGCAACAAGGGCTACTGGTTGGACTCGAACGGATTTACTTGTCGACCCTTCTGCAATGAAGAATGCGAGACAAATCACGGATATTGCTCCGAGCCGAACGTGTGTACGTGCAGTTCCGGTTACAGAAGAGTCGGTAACAATTCATCTCCGTTCATGTGCGAACCTGTGTGCAATTCCCATTGCGAGGACATAAAAGGCCATTGCATAGCCCCCGATTCGTGCGTCAGTAGGTGCGATCCCGGCTACGAACCGGAGAACCACTTTCCTTATCGCTGCAAGCCGAAGTGCCATCCTTGCATTTTCGGGACGTGCACGGCGCCAGGGACATGCACGTGCGACCATGGTTATAGAACAGTGAACGCAGGTGTTTGCGAACCGATCTGCGAGGACTGCGGAACCGGCACATGCACCGAACCCGGATTTTGCACTTGTGATCTTGGATACGTTTTTGATGAAACAAGTAGAACGTGCAAGCCGCACTGCTCGACACCTTGCGCACCAAACAAAGAATGCGTAGCGCCAAATGAATGCCAGTGCTCCAAAGGATATTTCCCATTACTCGGTTTAAGTCGTTCAAGGTTTTGGGATATTTACGATCTTGTTCCAAGAAGACGGTTTGGCGACAGAATGGCAAGTATAGCTATACAATAAGATACAAGCATTATTTTATTCATTATCGTCATAATTCTTGATGCAATGTTTAAGATGCAACCACCAACGAAGGTTTTAATCTTCACGAGAAAGCGTTCTTTTTCTCAATAAGATCATATATATAATTCTTTATAAATATTTTTTTAATGTCAGTAAAAGATTATTTTAATTAAATTGTAGCTATTCGCAATGAACGTACATATTTATCAAGTTATGATTGATTAAATTATAATCATTAAAAAAATTACTCGATAGGATTAATACGTTTCTAACTCCAATTTTAAGATCATGCACGAATTAGTTGAAAAAAATTTTTATCAACTTCGCTTGAGATCTTTTGAAAAAGAGAAAAAAGAGTTTGAAAATTCCTTTTTAAAATAAATTTTTCTAGAAATTCAGTTAGAATTTTCGTTCGCCTTGTTATCATGATTGAAATGGCCAGTATATATTCGATTTTTTCATCGAGTAGAGCTACTAACAGTAATATGAGTAATATCCAATACAATGTAAAGGTTGTACATTGAAATTATATTGTATTCCATCATATTATTGATTCAAAGCAATCCTTAGATTTAGAAGAGTCTATTATAATATTTTTAAACACAACCCGTTAATCACAACTAACTTAAAAAAAAACTCATTTGATCTAAACTAGTTCGAGCTTCCCTGTTTACCAATTTGCAAGTTCAAATGCATCAATGGTAGATGCACCGCACCAAACGTATGCACCTGCGACAGGGATTTTTATCCACAGTGGATCGACAATCATCCTCTTCTACGTAACAATTCGCTTTTACCGCGCATTTGTAATCGTCTCCCAGGACCTCGCTGTAACGAGTCCTCGTGCGGGGTTAAGGGAACATGCCACAAGTCCGGCATTTGTATTTGCAATGACGGTTACGTGAGGGACACGAACGGTGTTTGTGTACCCTTCTGCGCCCCAGCGTGCTCCAACAGCACGTGTACGATGCCAAATCACTGCGAGTGCCACGACGGCTTCGCGTTTCGAAATGAGAGCCTCTGCGAGCCGATTTGCGAAAGAGGCTGCAAGAACGGCGATTGCATAGGCCCAAATGAATGCATTTGTCACGACGATTTCGTACCGAACTTGAACCATCACTTAGGACCGGAATGCATCCCCGAATGTACTCGCAACTGTAGCGAACACGGCAACTGTGTCGTCGACCGCATTGATAATATTGACGTCATCTACAAATGCACATGTCACCACGGATGGACGGGACAGGACTGTGATCAACCGACCATGTGCATGATGGTGATACCTGACGATTACGAAGATCTCAACAGGTGAATTCCGATTATTGACTTGTCTATTTTCCGTTTCTCGCAAAAAGCAATAATACCTTGCTAGACGAGTTTTGTAATTTGCAAATATCATTGCAGTATCACGATTCACAATGATAGTACAATCGATATACAATCCTTCGAGGACATGCCGTATTGTGAATGCGACAAGTCTATTGACAACGAAACATTTTGCTTTATGCAGTATAAAGGCAATACGTCATTTACCAGCTGCTTGTTTAATAAAGGTATTTACAACTTAGAAAAACAATCACATTTTCAATTGTAATGGCAAACATTATTTTGTTAATTATCTATGGAAAGTTGTAACTAATGTTCTTTTAAATTTTTTATTATGTAATCGTTTCAGCAGTGACTTTTGATAGTTCAAGAAAATATTATTTTTAATTTCTTTTAAAATAACATTTACTTAATTATATAAATTATATAAATATTAACGTCAATATAACAAAGAATGAAGTTGTGTCGCATAAACTTTTCTTAAATAATTAACTCTTCTAAGAAATTAGTAGACACATATTATTCGCAAAATATTAGTTTTTCCATTAAAAAAAAACCAATTAAACACTTTTAGTTCATTTTATAAAATCTTAAAAATATAGAACTAGCTTAAAAAAGTTCAAACAGAAGCTTGTGTGTGCGTAGAAAAATATAAACTGATAAAAATAATATGAAACGTTAAGGAAAAATATGATCTTCTTACATAATATATTCTATTTATTATTAAAAAACCTTGAAAAAAAAAACATTTGAATCATTAGTTTTATTTACTTTCCATTTTGCAGATTTGCCTTGTTATACAACGTCTCATTATAATGCCTCCATTAACGGTGCCAAAATAGTTTGGTCTTTCGTGACAGTCACTATATTAGTAGCCACAGGTTTAATAGCAGCAGCATATTTTATATATCGCAAACGCCAAAAGGAGAAATTCGCTTCAGGTATTTTCCAAAATTTATCATAAACTTCACATTTTAACAAGAGTATAACTAAAACATGATTGAGGTCTACTTTTAGCTATATGTACATATAAATCGACATAACAAATGTTTACGTGAATGATGAATTCACAATTTTCGTAAAATCGCTTTTAAGCTTTTACGCTCTCCTCATTTATTACAAATGTTAAAACAAAAAACTATAATTGTTACATGTAGTATATTTTATTAGACAACGAGATAACTATTTTGAAATGTTTGTTCCAATAGGTCCGTCAGTACACGTCTTCGTGCGAGAATCTTTCAGCACCGAGATTTTGTTACAGTGAGATCTAACTTTGAAGGAGATAGTCAACAATAAATTGTAATAGTTATGTAATAATGATGATAAATAGTACAATTGTAATAGTAATGATAAATTAGATATTTTAGTGTTTATATTCAGATGTAACATATTTTAGTGTTCATCACATCTATGACAAAGATAAGTAATGCTCATTTAGCTAATATAATTGGTATTAGTAATAATATTTTCGCACATCAATCTTAGCAAATTATTTACTTCTTTGAACATATATATCAAGATGTTTTGATGATAATAGTAAAAATATAAAAATATAAATTCGAAAAACTGTTTCTCAAAATAGAATTTATCTAACGCGAACCCTATTATTCACTGCGATAAACTCCATTGCAGTAAATCGCTAATATTGTCAGTGATCGATGAATAGTTTCGTGTGAGCAGGCAATGTAATATCATGACGTAATTGAAACTGTTTAACACTGCTCGACAATAATGAACATTCTCCAGACATTTTCGGCATGTATGACCGCAATATATCGGTCACCTCCTTTAGACTGCAATTACTGACCCAGTTGTAGCCTTGCCACCAGCAGTCAGCAGATGTCCGTCGACGATAGGGTAGCGAAACTTTATTCCGCAATAAGACTTAACTCCAACGAAAGGCTAGAGGCGTGCTGGTCTCTCGTAGCCTTTATCCCTTCCCCCCGAATGCGAATCGATTACCGCGTGAATCGCCATAATTTAACACTCGGCAAACCGACACGCTCACTCGTGGCGCCGGATGAATTTGTGAAGGATTGCGCGTCAATTTCCAAAAGATACAGTCTTAGCGAGGAAGAGAAAGATGGAAACTAATGTCATCGGGCTGACCGATAAATTAAATGGACATACATGCATCCGCCATCCCGGCATTCTCTCCAGAGAGAGAGGCCCACGGCGACTAACCCCGTGTTTTCGATCGACGTGATGTGGACCGACGGCGAAGCGAGGACGAAGCGGGGCGCCGCGACGCCCGTCGCGTCGGAGTAGCCGGCCGCGCGCAGCTGCAGCCGTGTCGCTCTTGTCCCGCGAGGACCGTTCAGTGAACGAGGCGGAGCGGTTTCGAGCGGTGCCCGAAACGATCGGTGTCTTCTCGCGGTGTTCGTTGTGCAGTGTAGTTATCAAGTTTCGCCGTCGAGCGGTACGCGAGCGTACGTTCGTGCGAGCGCAGCGGACTCGCAGTGGTAATAACCTTTATTACGCCGGCAGGTAGGAAGATACGGACGCACGTAGACGAACGCACGACGAACGCGACGTAAGGCGCTTCTCCCTGGGACATCGACGGTGCGAAGGTGCGCCGGGGAGGTCGGGAGGGCGGGAGGGAGAGAGGGGAGGGCAGGCGACGGGGAAGGATGTCGATGCGCCGTCGGTGGTCGGTTTCGGGGGTTGATTCGCGCCGCGGGGGCGATGAGCGCGCTTCCCTCCGCCCTGAGACTGACCTCCTGCTGCTGCTGCTGCTGCTGGCTCCTGCTGACCTGCCTCGTCGTCTTCCTGATACCTGCACCCTGCACCAGCGACACGCCGCAGCAAATAATAAGCCCGGCTCAAAAACAATCGGCAGGTGATGATGACGCGGCGGTGTACGAGTCCAGCTACCTCGACGACGATGCCGAGGTCTACGAGGACGACCAGATAGCCACCGGCAATGGCGACCTCGACGAGGACTGGTTCGGAAATTTTACGGGTAAGTTAGAGCACGGGTTGCGTATATTAACTGGATAATACAGCAATCGATAGTAAGAGAATAATTGTTCGACGAAAGTTACCGGCGATGATTGGTCTTAAATTAAAATTCGATAACGGCGAATTTTTTTATAAATTCCTTGATACACCATGGTAGAAATTCTTTCGAGTATATATCTCTATCGAAACGTCGATTAGAATTTTCATCTAAACCGGTGAATGATGTATGAGTATTACAATTTGTAAGACAAAAAAAGATGCGGATATCGATGATTACAAAATCGAACGTTTTGAGAAAGGAAGAGGAAAGGAAGCCAAGATTTATAAGTTAGCTCGATGATAGCATTGTGATGCTAGTTCGTTACCTAGGTGATGTTGGTGAGAACCAAATCATGTTTAAATATCAAACATCATTTAAACTTGCTAAAATATAATTTCTTAATGAATTTATCATTCCTTTAAAAATCTAAAAAAAAAATAATTTCTATGCGTCAGTAAAACATTAAATAAAATCAAGAAATGTGATAAATATAAATACCTATAAACAAATATATATATATATAAATTGAGGAAATATAATAAAATAATGCCAAGTTCCTAAAAAGATAATTATGCTAATTAAATTGTTGCGAAAGACTTTACAAGTCAAGAAATTGTTTGAGGAAATGAGATGACAACTAGACGAAAATTAAATAATGTACAAGAAAGATACGCTATGAAAATAAGCGAGCAGAGTAATAGATAAAGTTATTATTATTATGCTTGAATTTATTCAATAATTAACGTTCATTTAACGTAATTTATAATCAAAACATGTTCATCCTAGACACAACAATGCTCTATTTTCATGTAAGACAATAACGATCGACGAAGATGATGTGTTTCAAGGTTCTCTCTGCTTGCACAATATACAAACACTTCCTCGGGAATGTTTATCCATTAAAGCATCTCTACCATCATTCTCTAATACATTTTCGAATGATTAAATTAATTCGTCAAGTATATAAACGCAATTTTTAAGATAAAATTATGAAACCCATTTAATTTGATTTAAAATTAAAAATATGATGTGCTATTTTCAGTGAGCTGTGTAAAATATGGTTTTTCTTTATAAAAATAATTTTTTAGATTGCTTGAAATTATGATAAAGAAAATTTTTTTTAATAAATTGTTAAGTCAACTATAATAATTATTAAATTTTTCCATTCTACTTCTAAAAATCATACTAATTAATGTTTCAATTAACGTTTTATTCAAACCACATTTAAATTTCTATTAAATGCCATATCGTGAATATTCTTTTGCTTCAATAAAGATTTTAACTTTTTTTGCGTCTATCTCATTTTGCTCTTCTTTTACACACGACACACACTTATCTCTTTTCGATTTTATGTTAAAATACTTAACGTATTATCCTTACGTTCTAAAGGAGACGAAAAGTGCCTCGAGCGATTTGTCTTAGCGCACGCGTCGATTTAATCAAAAAGGGAACACGTTCTTCTTGATTTTCGCGCCAAGAACGCCACCGGTATTGATTTTAATGGATGCTGCAAGCTCCGCGCGTTCCCTAGACCCGCGTGTGTCAATTGAACTGCACATTGTGCCTACGTTCTCCTTAAAAGTAGAGCTCACGGGGAAGAATAGTGGATTTCTTGGCGTACATTTTTCACTCTTTCATTCATGATGCATTTTTTCGACTAGAAAGATGCAATCGGACGGAATGGATTAACAGAAAGAGCAAAACTTAATCGCAATGGTTAGTTACAATACGAAAGTTGATAAATGAAAAAACAAGACAAGAGCATCAATTTTATTGCCTTTTCAAACTTACTTAAGTCTCCGCCGGCAACATGGAATTATTAAAGACACCATCGATATTTTGATTGTGAATTCTGGCTAAATCTGTAGAAATGAACAAAATACAATCCAACTTCTATAATGATAGAAACTCATATTAAAACTTTGACAAAATATACCAAAATTTTTTTTAGATTTTTATATAATCCAGAATAATAAAAAAATCTCTGTTTTATCGATGAGACTCATGGAAGAGTTAAAATTTTATATTATTATAGTAAAGAGTTAATTTCCAAATTGAAAGATGTAAGCTGCTCGAGAAATAAATTATTACATGCGAATAATGAGTTAGCAAGCGCGATATAAGTATTATATGTTCATTAAAATATCTTTTCACTTAATTTAGCATGCTTTTTGGAACTTTCTACGGTTCCTATTTAATTAATGTAATCCAAGATAACTTTAATGACTGAAACGCATAATTTCTTAATTATACTTAGTATATATAGCTGCACGTGCTAATCCATCAGATGTTATTAAAACTTTCCGTTAAACTCTTCGTAAATCACGCGAATCTAAATTTTCGCTTGATGAGAGAGCTTGATAAAACACACGCGACGTAGCAGTAACGCGTACGCGTGCAATGAACTTTAATCGGTATGAATTTAAATGCAACCTGCTAAAGAAATCCAGTTGAGGCCATGCATTTTCAACCGTAAAACTGAAGGAGTACGCGATCATCGTGAAACGACACACAAACTGTATTGCACGGACGCTATTATTCGCAAGACAATGAGGTCTGTAATATTGAAATCTGCATTTGCATACGCGTCCATAGCGCTGCTAAATGACACGAAGCACATTTATCACGCACGACTGTCGTTGTCATTAGATAGTCAATTTATGTATGTTGATCCAAATAACATAGCCCGCGCAAAAGAACGTTGTAAGTTTTTACGAATAAAGATATCTATATATTTAAAATTGCAAATAAATACACACACACACACACACACACACACACACACATATATATATTATTATTATCAGAATATAAAATAAAATATTAACAAACTAAGAACGTTGAAGAACTCAAGAAGAAACTTTGCAGTATTCATAACATATTTGTTTGTAATAAATAGATTAATCTTCTTATATCTTAGTAGGTAATTTATAATTATTAATAAAATAAAAATAGCTTTATAGCTTCAAGAATAAATCAAATATTATTATAAGTAAATTATCTATATGATGATCTCCGCGGTTATTAGTACGTTAATAATATACTTATAAGGAGATATAATTCGCAAACAATTGAAATGAACTTATCAATGAAGTTAACTGCAAACGTTTTGACTCTAGATTTGAATCCTCACTAGTGTGGAAGTTAAATACAAACTACAATAGTAATCCAGATTCGAAACCTTTGCAGTTAACTTTATTGGTAAATACATTCCAATTGTTTGCGAATTATACCTTATAAATATATTATTGATGATTGACAACCGGGAAGATTTATAAGCAA